CGGGGCGAACCCTGGGAAAGGGCAGGCCCCAGGTGGGGCAGTTCCCCCTCAAGGGGGGGGGGTGGGCATAGCAGGGGGCCCTTTGTTTCCCCCGGGCCTGGCCCCTTTTCCCCAGTGATTCGCCCCTTTTTGCCCGCCACATTCCCCTAAAAGGCCACAAATTCCGCGGGACATTCCAGGTTAAACAAAGGTTTCCCCCCCCCCCCCACCACCACCACCACTTTACCCCCCCCAAAAAAAAAGGCCCCCCCCCCCCCCGACCCGCCTCGCTTCTGACGCAGCTCACGCCCCCCGCCGCGCGCTCCCAGGCATCGACCGGCCACTCACACTGCCGCCGATGCCGAGCGGCGGCGGCAGCTCCCGCGCCTCTCGCCGCAGCTCCCGGAGCACCGGCAGCCAGTCTCGCACCACGACGCCCCGCTCGACAGACACGTCGCCGCGCGAAGTGGCTTGCATCGTGGTGCGTGGCGCGAGCCGGGCGGCTCTCCCCTCCCCCCCCCCCCCCTCGCTCCCCGCTTTTCCTACCGCCCTGCTGCCCCCTCGAGGCCGCGGCCAGACTGCGACCTCCTCTCTCTCCCCCCCCCTCGTGTGTGCAGGTGCCCACAGGGCTCGCCCTCGTCGCTCCGGAGGGACCGCTCACGCCGCCTGGGCCGGGCGCCCCGCCGCCCACCCCGGCGGAGCAGAACACGTCGCTCGCATACGCCGTCTCGATGAGGGAGGAGGAGTCGGAGGACGGCGAGGGCAGGCTGGTCGCGGTGGTGGAGCCCACCTTCGCAATGTACGCAGCGGCGCCGAGTCCCGAGGGCACGGTGCGCATCAACGGCGCGGAGGTGACCGAGTCGCCGCAAGGGACGGTGCGGGTCAAGGGGCCGCCGCCCGCGATGCAGCGAGGCGCGCTGCAGATGGCCGCCTTGCGAGCCGCCTTTGCGATGGGGCAGGACCTGCCCGAGGACGCGGCTCCGCCCTCGGAGGACCCTTCTGAGGAGTCCTCTGGCTCCTCCTCTCTCATGCTCCATGCACATGGTCATGCTCATGGTTCATAGACCATGGTCCAAAAGGAACGTGTCACATATTTCTGGCTGAGTCCACGGTCAGGGTGCCGAGCTATTGTGTAAACGCTCCGTAGAGAGCCACCAGCCGGAGAGTGGCTCAGCCGACAGCCCCAGGCCCCGGCGGGCCCAAGGTTCCACAACCAGAGACCGCCTAAGCACCTAAGCGGCCTAAGCGGGGGGGCGCTTAGGGTGCTTAGGTGCTTAGGTCGCCCTCGTGAGCGTAGCTACGTGCTGACATCATCATACGAGTGATCCTGAGTACCCACATGATGTGCCTGCCTATCGCTAAGCACGGAGTCGCGGCCTCACAACGCTCACGATCCGGTCGAATATCACACGCACGCACGCAGGGTGCCGGGACGGCTACATGTCAGCGTCGCATGCATCCGCCAGCGCTGCGAACTCCTTGTTCATCCGATTTTTGTACGCTTGCATCGCTGACTTGACCTCCTCCGCATCTACATGGTCCAGGAGATCGCCATCAAAGACCCAAGCTACAAAGTGGAAGCCGCAGTCGTCGGGACCACTGCCAAACCTGCCAGAGACAAGGTACTCCAAGCGCTCGTCGTCTTCATCGACAGGTTTCAGCGCCACCGCAGTCATCTGGCTCGGGTCACAGTAGCGCATGCCGAGCACCTCTTCAATCTCCAGCAAGGCTGCGTCCGTTGACCCGCCAGCCCGAGCGTTGGCGAGTGGCGGCAGAGCGCCGACTTCCCGCATACAATCGCGAATATGGCAAGCCTTCTTGCTCCTGTCGTCGTTCCAGTACCAGCCGGCAGCTGCCGTCTTCTTGCCGCATACGTCGCATCTATCCGCCCGCCGCGGAGGCACTGGACGACGACGGGGACGGTCGCAGCGGCTCGCTTTCTCAAGGATGATTTTACGCTTTTGGGGGGATCAAGTCGAGAGGAAGATCTCCGGATCTCGACAAAACCCCAATATCCTTGAGATCATCCACCTGTGAGGACACGATGCGCGGTCAGAGGCGTTGTCGCCGTACGCAGAGCGATGAGCAGTCACTGTGTGCGCGCGTCTAGAAAGATCTTGAGGCCCGGCAGCAGCAGCTGCAGCTCGCCCTTGATGACCCCGACGGTGTCTTGACCGGTCGACCTACATGGTTAGGGGTGGAGCTGGATCGTGCGGTCTGGATTCCAAGGGCTCGCGCACGGCCCGATGCTGAGCAGGCGCTTTCGCGTGTCGGCCGGCCGGGACGGGGGAGGTGCAGCAAGATTGGGGAGGGGTGGGGAGGGCGGCCTGCAGACAGCTAGAGCTTTGCTCGCAGAGGGCCGAACGGCGTGTCCGGAGGCACAAGAGCAGCATGTTGATGTTGTACGTGATGATGATGCTGATGCTGCTGGTGGTGGTGGTGACGATGACGATGATGACGATGATGACGATGGTGATGATGGTGATCGAGG